GACGGAGTTCTACAATCTCGACTAGTATGCCGACTACGATAGTAGGTGCGACGGAGTTCTACTGCGAAATAGGTGCAGCCTGGAAGAATTATGTTCTGAATCTGTCTCAAATGTGTCGGCCAGCTCGAGAATTCTACGTTGAGCGCTGTCTCCTTCGGCAAAACCCGTATTCGATTCACCGAGCGATATCGAGGTGGATTCTTCTGCCTTTACCGCTGCACCATTGGCTTTGCCTTTTCGAGTTCTGAACCTTGAGGGAGAACATTTCTGCCCACTGCCTCTCCAATCGTGACCGCCAGATTTCAATGTGCCTCGCACTCTTTTTCTGTCTTTCGTCGACCAATCGATGGTGTAGTTGGTCACCCTGAGGTTTGCGAACTTGAACAACTACACCATCGACCTCGACTTGGGGGTGCCTTATCTTAAATCGGCGACTGATTAAACTTGTTTAGAGTCCTCGAGTTCTCGGCGTCCTAAATATGCGACTCGTCTTCTATTCTTGCCGTACGACCCTGGCTTCAAAGGTTGTTAAAACGATTGATGCCCCGATCCGACTCCTTGTTCTTGTTGCTTCTGCATTCTTCTTCTTCTTGCTTGACCGCGCAGTCTTTGCCTCATCCTTCCTTTGCCCCCTCTCAACATCTGGAGTTTGGTCCAAGTTAACTCTGCTTCTCGGTCTCCCAACTTTGCCACCATTCAACAACTTGAACCATTCAACCATGACTCGGACACCTCAACTCAATTTCGATGGTCTTCGCGTTTGACCGACCAGCGCATTTGAGCCAGTAGCGTTGAGGCGCAGAATTGCCAGCAGAAATGAAGCAGATACTTGAAACAGGCGCTGCATCTCGAGGACTCGGATGGTGTGAGGCAAGCGATGGAATCACTTTTGATGTGATGACCTTCCTCTTCTCCCACTTCTCCTGGACGAGGTGATGACCTCAAGGCGGACTGCACTCGATTGGTGGCACCCTTACCTCGTTCTTGGCCGTTCTGCGTCAGCAGTGTTATCTTGTTTTCGGCCATTCTCTGTCGGTCTTACTCCCCCCCCGACCATTCTCCGTCCGTCGTTTCGATATGGGAGGTGCCCACTGACTGGCAGTTACTCGCTGATTCCCAGAAAATTGAGGTGACAAGTTGGATTGCTCACCGCGGCGCCGACACATTTCGCTCCAAGTCCCAGTGGGCCGGGGCCGGCGGAAGTTGTTGGTCGAAGAGTTGGATAGATTTCAGCTAGAACTAAATGAGTGAGTTATGGCGGAATACTTAGTACTTGACCTGAAATATCGACCTACCGATAGGTCCAACACGTTCATGTCCATGGCGGTGGCGAACGAATGATCAATGTCCATCATGTCCCTGAGACTGAACCTGGTATTTTTACAGCTCCCGATGAGACTCGATGGAAGGGAGAGTTTCGAATCCAACTGGACTTCTAATCCCGTCCTTATCTCCGAAGTGCACCGACTTGGGGTACTTGAAAGCACATGTGAGACGGACAAAATCCCAGTGGTGCTAACTGGCATTACATTCTGGACAAAATCCTCCAACTAATTGAATTTGGGCCGCTGTAAGCGTACAAATCAAGACCATTGAGTTGCCGGTGCCCAGATTGTTCTATTCCCGTATGATTAATTCATCTTGATGCAGACCATCTTCAATCTGCCAACCAGTGGCACTTTTTACCCGCATATCAGATGTTCTCCCGAAGTTCCATATAAGAGGATTGGTTGGACTTTGTTGCGCAGCAAAACCATGCTCTTCAATCCAGTCTTCAGAGTTTGGACCCTTCGCCTGTACTTGGGATCAACACTGGTCCAGGCTGCTCAGCTGAGTATTGGCTGGATGGTGTTCTTCATGTTGGCGATAGGACACCACTGCCAAGTCACCGAAGTGTGCGGCAATTACATCACAAATCTCCTCTAGTATTGACGAGCCGCTAGAGTTGCAGAGAGGGGCAAAATCTCGGCAATCGCGGACCTGGTGTGGACTCTTATTGAATTTGCTGGTGCGCCTTGGAACTTCTCTCAATTTTTGAACATTCAAAGTTATCCCATGATCAGGAGCTTTAACCATTAAAATTCTCACCGCACGGTCAACAAATCCATGGGTTCAATTCATACTGCTTTCACTGCTTAGTGACAATGGTGACAGTGAGAATAAGGGAGCCGGAAATCCTCTTACCACCACCAGTTCCATTCTCATGCTGACAACACTGATCTTGACAATCATATTCCGTATTGCGACTATGGCAAAGTTCCCTAAGCCATTCTCGTGTCAAGACTTCACATTCCTGGGGGGATGTACACCGCATCACCCACCGTACACCGCCATGCGTATATTTTTTGGCCGATCCATTGCACGGCCGTTAGTTCGGTGCAATGAATCTAGTCCCCACTGCATGACCACATACTCACTCCATCTTCAGGAAAGAGTCCCGCCCCATCCTTGTTGTGAGGGGGGTCATCATTTGGTGCATTGCATTTGGAGTCCCGATATTTGCACTTTACACCATCATCTTCAATCCGCGCATGACACGCATATCCAGTCAAGCTGTCAGCCCCTTCACCCCTGGGCAAACTAGTTTTATTGGCTCCTACAGTCCTTCTGGAGCTGCAACTCTCCTAATGGTTGGTGCTCTTCCCCTCAAACACTGATGAGTCTCATTCCACCCTGGCTAGAGGCATGTCAACCCATCCGATGCTGATCCTGATCCCACGGCATACAACATTCAAACACGGATGGCCTCACATCACAGAGTGTTTCAGAACAAAACACTCATTGACATGGAGCAGCTTGGTACGACGGATAAGTGGACTATAATTCCAGGTAACTCAGTGTTTGTGTATCAGATGAGCACTCATTTGTTGCAGACCACAGTGTTACATGGCAGGACATACTGAATGTGTCCATTTCCCTGTCCCTGCCAGCCGGAGAAACCGGGGTGTATATCGTGCCAGTCACGGGCTGCCTTGATGTGTGTGATTCCGAGTCAGCTCAAAGTTGGCTGATTAGCTACGGTGACCTCCTGGACGGTGTACTACTGGTGCGCGGTTCCAATCTAGTTGGAACCTTCAGTTGGACACGGAGAGACACCTTTAGACGCATAGGGTGGATGATTGGCTCAGTATGTGTTGACCTATCCATTGAACCACCCATTCACCCCAAGTAGCCCCCGAGATTGGAGGTATATACCCCCAAGATTAATAACCTACAATCTTTTGCGGAGGGTGGAACCTCGGATCCAAATACCGCCACACTTACCCTGATCCAGATGTCACCATATGCCACCGAATACTTCCGCGACACAGTTGATTCATCAGTTCTGGACGGAATAGCTACATTCGGAGGTTTTTGGACATTCCTCAATGGCACCTTTGCCTTATTCTTTGGCGCAAATGTGCTGTACTTTGCCTTTGGTGAGTCGCAGCAAAGTCAGTGATATGATAGAGGCCGTATGCTGAACAATTCACAGGAAGACGGCCACTCTCGGCACTGGGCATTGTGCACTTCTTACAACGCAAACAGCTTCGCCGGCAGTGGAATGAAGACTTTCCAAGCATCCACACCGAAGGCGGCCTTCCTGGCTCCGAGTCTGCGGGGATTGTTGCATTCATCCGTGAGCGTCTTGTAGATTTGGAGGATCTTCCTCCAAATCCACCACCCAAAGATCCCCCAAATCCACCCCCCGAAGGCGGCCTTCCTGGCTCCGAGTCTGCCAGGATTCTTATGGATTTGGTGGATCTTCCTCCAAATCCACCACCCAAAGATCCCCAAAATCCACCCTCCCCAAGACAAGTTGATCGTCCGGACGACATCTACACTCAGAGCTCACAGGATCCAGAAGAAATCAGGAGGCAGAGTATTCAATCAATCACTTTGGGATACTCCGCCATGCGGGAGTCTGGCTATATTCTGGAGGAAATTCCCTTGTTGGATGCAGATCTTGAATCGGGTGGAATACCCCACACAAATGACTCTGTTGTTTAGGAACCCCCATCGATTCGATCTCGCTTATTACGGGCCTCCCTTTCATTCAGATCATTCCCAGTGTAATCCTACTTATGTACCTACTCCCTACCCACAAATGCACACTCATCAATCACAGTCCACAGGAAGTAAGCTCCCATCATTAAGCTTCAACTTGAACATTTTTCCCCATCCAACTAAGTACATAATTCCATGCGAATCCGCCCCTCACACTCCCAGCCCTCAAAATCCGCAGGCAAAAAGGCTAGGTCTCCCATTTCCCGTGTTATACACCCCAAACACTGCACCCTTGAAAAAGAAACCACTGTGTCCGCATTAGCATTCCCCGCAAATCAACAATCCACCCGATGAAATGCACCGGGGAGGAGGGGGAGACACACCCAAGAGGCGGCACAGACAGCAGCACCGAGTCGATTGTGACGGGGAACGTAAACCCGGTGGTGTTGCCCTCGGCGTGCCCAAAAGTGTAGGAGGTCGTGTTCCTGACGATCTTGAGCCGCACTGGGTTGGAGGCACTCATTAGTCCAATTCCCTTCTTCCAGTATGGTTGGAAATTCAACCCCGCGCACCTTCGTAACCGTGGCATTTGCATACATATCGTCCTAACCACGACTTGGTGCCCTCCCCCAGGCGCCGCCACAACAGCGACGTCGTTGTGCAGCTGGTCGCTATGGAAAATTGTCGCCTCTGCCTCGGTCAGATTACTCCCTGGCTGGAAGCCATCCAGCAGTGTCTCGAACCCCTCCTTCGGAGTCGTACTGTGTCTGTTTCCGCAGCACCAAAGCGGGCGTGTCACGGTCCCCTAGTTTTGGAGCCCAGAATACCCGGTTATTTGCCCTGTATTTGCTCTGCTTGTCTGGGGAACCAGGGAAATTCTGCCTTTAGCACAATAGATCGCTTCCCTCCACATCCGGTCCTGCTCTCTGCCGCAACCAGTATTATCTCGTTTTCGGCCATTCTCTGTCGGTTTTACCGACCCCTCAACCATTTTCCGTTCTTGGTTCTTCGTAGCTTCGATGGTGTAGCTGGTTATCACTTCTGTCTCACATTCACGGTGTCCACAGGCGGTCCTCAGTTCGAACCTGGGTCGAAGCACGTTTTGCTCCGGTGTCCAGAGACCATCGATTGATTATTACGGGCAGAATCGGCTTTTTGCCGCTGCCGGAGCCATTCCCCGTACTTCCCCTCCGAGAGTAGGGCTCCTATGACTGCGTATGGTACCCCAAGCACTCGAGAAGTGCCGCAGATCGAGAGGAAAGAAGTGGAAACCAGAGGAAGGAAGAGATGATGGGAAGTTCCGCTTTGGGACGATATCTCACGTAATCGGCGTTGAGTTCCCTTTTGGGACAAGTAAGTCGATCGTTGGGTATGCCACCATTTCGGCACCTTGGGGCCTTTTTTTCTCCGCTGAAAAGTGCATTTGAACCGTCCCTAGGAATAAAATACCAACAAGATAATCATCTCCCGAGGTATCCCCAATCAGGAGCTTACAACAGAGACCATGCCTTTGAACTTGATCGAGAGAAAGAGAAAGAAAAACTCGTTTGTGAGGACGCTTCGGTCAGGTGTCGACTCTGGCTCGAAGCTCGAAGCTTAGAGCTTGAGAACTGAACCAAGTCAAAAGAAAGTAACTTCCCTTCCGGCAATCAAATGCCGTACCGCCCTTGCTTCAGGCGCTCATGTCAGAGCCTCGACTTCCCGCCGAACTGGAACGGAAGATTTTCGAGCTGGTCGCCCGTTCACACTCCAAATCCATCCCAGCCCTTCTACTCGTTGCGCACCGGGTCAAAGTCTGGTGAATTATATGGGACACACCGAGTGCGATCTGACTGATAGCGCGACAGGATTGAGCCGCTGCTATACCGCGTCGTAGTCTTTTCCAATCCACTGCCGGGCCAAGTCTGCTTCGACCCCGTCCGGTTCACTTCCGCGATCGAGTCCCAAACCATCGCAGAGAATGTCCGGCATCTACTGGTTTACGAGGGCATCCCTCGACTCAATCTCGAACTCGTTCTCGCGACCTGCTCTTTTGTCGAAGATCTCCTCATCCTGCACTTTGGGCCGGACTCGGACTTTCTACCGTTCGTCTCGGGCTTGCCTCTTCGGCGCTTGGGCACCACACTGGCCGATCTATTCTTCACAACCAGCATCAACTTCTCCCATTCGTTATTCGCGCACATCACGCATCTGGAAGTAATGGACGACCTGGAGGCCGATACCGCGCATTGGGCAGACCTCGCGCGGATCCCTCACCTCACACATCTGGCATTCCTGGTGGAGCGATCCCTCCCGATTCTCACCTCCGCGCTCAAGACGTGCCCTGTATTGCGGGTTCTCGTTCTTTTGAGCACGTCTTACCAGATGCTCATGGACACGGGGCTTGGCCTGGAGACCCTCGCGCAGGACACGCGATTCGTGTGCATGCAGGCCCCGCCGACTGTTAAAGACTGGCAGATTGGTGCCCGTGGTGGAGACGACTTTTGGGTCCGGGCGGAGAAATTCATAGCCCGACGGCTGTCTGGCGAAATTAATCGTGCGTGCGCAGCCCTTTCTCTGTGGTCGTACTTGACGTCGGTTTTTTTCTTTCAGGTGAAACTTTTGTGTTGCGGGAGGAGTAAACCTTGCAATTATCTGTTTCGCGTAGTGCCCAATCAAATTGAAGGTGCCCTATCCTTTCAGGTCAAATCAACGACGAGCCAGAACCAACAGACGTTGAGATGGCCGGATTCAAGCCGAGGTTTCGACTGCCGAGAATAAACTTCTGTCCGGGGTACACAAAATGTCTGTAGTCTCGTATCCGCGACCAAGTACAACATGTTCCACTTCCAATTTCAGCGGCATTATTGCTCAAGCGCTCATAGCAGGCAGGCCCAGTAATTGGAATTGGCTCTGCAGTTGGCTCTAACGTCCCCGGAATCGACGGCTGAGTGTGTCCTACGACTCAAACAACCCGGGATAAAGTTTACTGATATTTCCGCAACTTACCAAGCTATTTCTGCGATTGATCTCCATTACACTGTTGTATTCAAATCGGTACCTACCCTGCTCCCCAACTCCGTTGACTTGGCCTGTATCGCTTCGAGTTACCGGATTCTCAACTCCACCAATGATTTACGAATAATTGACATCGTTTGCTTCGCTTGCCGCTCCAAAAATCCTCCAACTCCCATCGGCTTCCCCGACTTCACAACGACGCGTCAATTCAACGGCGACGCGTCTCTTCGGCGACAGCGGACACCTGTGGAATCGACGGCATTTCATTGGCCAGGTCACTTGACGAGTCCCAATTGGTGGGATCCGATTGGCTGTGCTCTGCCGAGGCCAATATACAACGGCAGGCGGCTCCAAGTTTAGTAAAATTTCTTTCTTCCCGCCACCATGTCCTCCACGCCCAAAGCGCCTTCTGTCCCCCTCTCACGCCCGGCGGCGGCTTCGGAAAACCCCACAAAACCACCAATCTGGGCGATCGACGCAGTGGCACCCTCATCTCAGCCAATTCCCCTGCCATCCCGCTGCTCTCGCCACAACAGACCCGACGGTGTCTGCTGCAAAGAACTCAAAGGCGACGACCGCACCCTCATTGACCCAGATGTTGTCCGGGACGTGTGCGTACCAGTTTCATGCACAAAAGGCGTTAAGGCGTTATCGCTGACCGACTCCATAAACAGCGTCATTGGACTCTCGGACGGTCTCACAGTGCCCTTTGCATTGACCGCTGGCCTTTCCTCGCTCGGGGAGTCCCGTCTTGTCGTCCTCGGCGGCGTCGCAGAGCTTATCGCGGGCGCTATCTCGATGGGCATTGGCGGTTTCCTCGCATCCCAGGCCGAGCGAGATCACTACCGCTTCCTCCGGGATTCCACCGCTGCGCGCGTCATCCGTAGTTGTGACGGCGAGATGGAGCGCGAGGTCGCCGACGTGCTGGCCCCCATCGGTGTCGATGAGCGCACATGCCGCGCCGTCGCCCGCTGCCTGCGCGAAGTCGAGGTGCCCTCCTCATCCTCCAACACCATCGCCTCCCATGACCTCGAATCCAACGACTCCCTCCGGTGGAGCAAGGAGGTCGGCCTCACGCCCTTCCTGCTCAAGTTCGGCGCCGGCCTCGAGGAGGTGCCTACCAGCCGGCTCTACATCTCGGCGTTCACGATCGGCGCGGGCTATCTCGTCGGGGGCATCATCCCGCTCATCCCGTACTTCTTCATTCCCCGCGCACACATCGCCCTTATGTGGAGTGCGCTCATTACGGGCTTCGTGCTGTTGGTCTTTGGTGCGGTCAAGGCGCGCGTGACGGGTGCGGGTGTGGGTGCGAAGGGATACGTCTGGGGCGCGGTGAGCACGCTGCTTGTCGGCGGTGTGGCCGCTGCCGCTGCATTTGGGATCGTCAAAGCGCTGGAGGGCGGCGGTGACTAGCACTGCCAGTCTTTGTTCGAGTACTTTACGACCAGATATAATGTGTAGACATGGCTATTCCTTTTGTAAATATATCGGCGGGACGTTTTGTATCTGCAGGAAGCCCTAGACTAAATTGAAAGAAAGCTTTGGCGCTGTGCGATCGGTGTCGTGGGCGTCTTCCAACCATAATCTCCTCGAAACTGCCAATATTATTCAGATCTTTCCCCGCTAGTTTACACATATACAAGGACACTTTTTTTTTTGAATACAGCACCTACTTTGAGACCTGGTCGCCATCATGCTGGTGCATTATTGGCACTTGCTGTTGGGACCATTAGCGCTCCAGACGGCGATAGGGAAAAATGAGTAGAGACCTCCATGACCTCCTGCGTGCTCTCCTGCTTGAATCTCTCCACAGTCTGTGAAAGTTCCGCCGCCTGTGTCCCGAGTCGGTGTCCCGACCCACCGCGCGAGGCTACGCGTAAGGCCGCCTGTACGCCCAAGCCCACTTTCTTCCCTGGACACACAAAATTAGCAGGGGCCCCCTTATCTCGGCATGTAGCCAAACGCCGGGGACGCACATGCCATTTTGGCGTTAAACGCCTTCTTCACCTGCGGCAGCAGGTTGGTAGGGCCGCCGCTGGGGTTCATGGGGTCCGGGACGAATGAGGTCATCGGCGAGGCGAGCCACTGTTGTCGCAATGTTAATTCAGGTTCCTTGGTTGAAGTCCGATAGAATGAACGTGCGCAGCGTACCTCGTGCTGGAGAGCCTCCGCTGCCGTAGGTCGGCGCTCAGGATCCACCGTTAGACACGCGGTGATGAAGTCGCGCGCTGTCTGGGATACGTTCGCCCAGTACTCCGCGGGCTCGAACTTGTAGTCACCCGCGACAATCGCCTCGTTCTCCGCCTGAGGCGATTCGCGGTCGAATGGGGTGTAGCCCGCAAGGAGAAAGTACGTCACGACGCCCATCGCCCACACGTCCACGGGCTTCCCGTGGCCGGCTGTAGCGAAAAAAGTAATCACATCTCAGCAAACGGGGCAGAGTTAAGACCCACTGTGCTTGAAAATCTCAGGTGCCATGTACCCCGGCGTCCCACACACTTCCGTGAGCAGGCTGAGCTTCTCCTCCTCGATTATCCGGCTCAGGCCAAAATCCGCGATCATAATGTCGGCGGTCTCGTCTGGGGTGCGGAACAGGAGGTTCTCGGGCTTGAGGTCGCGATGCACAATGTTGGCTTCGTGGATGTAACTGACTGCAACAAAAACGGAGCGCACGATGCCCGCGGCGTCACTGGCAAGAGGCGGAAATACACGCAATTCGAGGATGGCTGGAGGTAACTCACGGCTCGTAGTAGCTCCCCTTGGAGCATATTCGGTCGAAGAGCTCGCCGCCGGTGCAATAGTCAAAGCACATGTAGAGATTGTTGCGCGTCTGATCATTTGGTCAAAACTGTATTTGAATACTGCGCAATTGCACAAACGCTTGAACACCAGGGAGATCGACGCACCTCAAAGTAGTCGTGCAGGGTCACGATGTTCGGGTGGCGACTAGAAATGAGTTTCAAGACTGCGATCTCGTTCCGCACCTACACATCGCGGGGCGTCATTAACCCCGACCTTCTCACACGCGCGAACGAAGACGGCGTACGAGGTGTTCCCTGCCCTCCATGAGCTGCTTGTTGATAATCTTACACGCGTAGACG